GGGAAAATTTTTAAATATTCAACTTTGACAAGGTTTTAAATTTCCTCAAATAAAATTTATAAATTTGAAAATTACCGAATCCACACATTTTAAAATTTGACTCATTTAAATTTGAAATTAAGCTTCCTGCGTGATGAAAGAAATTTTTTAGAGGTCTTAAGGTGTAATCGTTGCTCGGACATTTATTTGTGAAACTGCCATTTTCTTCCAAGGTGGCGTGATTTTATGGGACAATGGTGGTCCTTGTATTCTATCAGCTCCCATTTCTATATCTTCACATAAAGGGAACTTAATGTATTTTTTACGTGCTACAGGGTGTTCCAAAATTAGAGGCATTCATAAAAGTATCCTATAAAACACTGTAAAATAATTTTTTATTTTGAAACATTAAGTGATTGAATTTTTCCACGTTGTATAATTTGTCTAATTATATAATTTGACAGATTATATAACTTGTGTATATTATATAATTTATCTAGTTATATTATCTAATTATGTAACTAGAAAAATACTATAATTTCTTGTCTGAATTTTAGGGGAAACGAAGTAATTTCTGGTCTAGTTATTTAAGATATACGGTGCTTGCTAGACAAGTTTAAATAAACTAATATGAAAATATCTCCTTCCGTTGTCAATTTTTATAATTGAACTAGGGTGAAGTACTGAAAGTATCATAATTGTAATATTTTAATTATAATTAATACCAGCAACAATTTTCACCAATTTTTAAGTAATTTTCGAGCGTTATAGTACATCTGCATAATTACGCAAAATAATTGATTTTCGATAGCAAATATATTTACAACTGTAACACGCGTTTTACGGGAGTATTAATTTTCCGTTTAATTAACAGCTGTTTAATAGACACGTAATGAATGATAGTATTTGTAGACTAGAACGCAACTGTGACCTGAAATAAACGATCGAACGAATATTTACAAATAAAATAAATTAATTTCAGTATATACGAGTTCTAGTTCTTTTTTCGTTTCAATATAAAACCTTTACATGGAAAGTTCATACTCTTTCGAGTATCCCGAATTTCCTTTTATATCCTTGTTACTTTCATATCAAATTATCATGATACAATTATTCATTGTTCATTAAATCATTCGTTGCATTGTTCATTGGTTTCAGTTGCTTCTCAAAAATTTATAAAAAGACAGGGCTAAATATTTCATATTTTATTTTTACATAATTATTAGTTAATACGAATTTTTAATTGACTTCATTTCTGAAGCGTCCATTGAGTTGCTTCTATCAGAATTCTTCATTTACAATAAAATTCTGAAAGCAAGGTTAAAAGGCAGAGTACCAAAGGGGTTGCAAATTTAAATTTCAGTTCCATTAAAAATATCCATTAGAGATATTAAAATAAATTCCATCCCCTCAAAAATCAATAAATTACAATTAAGAGTGAAAAAATTTACAAATTCCTTTAAGATCACAAATTTTTCCTCCCAATTCTACTTTAAAAAATAAAAACCCTGAGGGTGAACTCACCCCGTAAAACATCACATAATAAATTCACAAGCACCCCAAAATCGAGGAGTTATCAAGTTCATACAAATTACCCCGTTAATAGCATCTCAAATATTTATACCATCAATCATCCCTATCAAAACATTTTATAACGAAGGGGTTAATAAATCCCTTATCATCGAAAAATCTATACTCTGGATCATAACCTCCCCTAACTCATCAATCGTATCCCCTAAAAGTCGACCTGGAGACCCACCTTCGATCCCTAAGGGGTGGCTCCATCAACGAAGGACGATGGCTGCTGGAATGAGTGCATGGGGAAATTCATGGAACACCGGTTGCTCCGACACCAAATTCCCTGCACCGGGGTAGGTGCTGTCATTTCAAACTGGACGATCTCAATTATTCAAGATATTAGACTTTTCACCCCTTTTTTTTTCTCTCTGTAATTTTTTTCACGTTCAATAATTTTTTAGGCATTCAACCTTTTTTTAGTTCTGTAATTTTTTAGGCAGTCAATAATATTTTAAGCATTCAGTAATTTTTTAGGCAGTCAATAATTTTTTAGGCAGTCAATAATTTTTTAGACAGTCAATAATTTTTTAGGCAGTCAATAATTTTTTAGGCATTCAGTAATTTTTTAGTTATTTAATAATTTTTTAGGCATTCAATAATTTTTTAGGTATTCAACCTTTTTTTAGTTCTGTAATTTTTTAGGCAGTCAATAATATTTTAGGCATTCAGTAATTTTTTAGGCATTCAGTAATTTTTTGGATAGTCAATAATTTTTTAGGCAGTCAATAATTTTTTAGGCATTCAATAATTTTTTGGACATTCAATAATTTTTTAGGCATTCAGTAATTTTTTGGACATTCTATAATTTTTTAGGCATTTGGTAATTTTCTAGACATTCAGTAATGGGTAGTAATAAATTATAATGTAAGGGTTGAAAGTGGTAAGTTCTGTAATTCTTAGAGGAACAAAATTGTGTAGGTATTTATTAGCATTATAGGTTTGCTATGATTATTATATGTCTTAGATGCCTGTCAGGGGTAGCAATAAATTAGATGTATTAATTTATAAGAATAGCCTGTGAATTACCAAAGTCACTGTCTGCCACAGTTTCAACCTTGACAAATTCTATCAGTATTAAAAATTTTGTTAAAACAAGTAAACCAAATTTTGTTTCAAGAATGTACACCTTTCCTCAATGCCCCAGTATTCACATCTTACATGTCTGAAGGGTAGTAGCAAAGGTTTGACGTATCAATTGCTAACGACCTGTACCAACACAGTCTGGCAGGGTCAGACTGCAATAATTATCGTATGGTACACAATATTAATTCCATGAGTACCAGACCTCTTTGAACCAGAGTATACTCTACCTGAAAGTCCACATTTTCTGACGTCCAAATCTTACAAGGGTCTACAAGGGTTAACAAGGGGTAGTATTAATTTTTAACGACTCACCTGGTACCAAAATTGAGACTAGCAACTCTGCAATAATTATATGGCAAACAGTATTCTGTATGTCCAAACGAATGAACCAAAGTATCTTTTGAAGAAAGTCCACATTTTCCCAGCGATCAAAAGTGCATATCTCAGACGTCCACAAGGGTCAACAAAGACTTGTATTAATTTCTGACTCACCAGGCTCCAAAACTTAAACTAGCAAATCCGCAATAATTCTATGGCAAACAGTATTCTGTATGTCCAAACGAATGAACTAAAGTATAGTTTGAAGAAAGTCCACATTTTCCCAGCGATCAAAAGTGCATATCTCAGACGTCCACAAGGGTCAACAAAGACTTGTATTAATTTCTGACTCACCAGGCTCCAAAATTTAAACTAGCATATCCGCAATAATTCTATGGCAAGCAATATTCTGTATGTCCAAACAAATCAACCAAAGTATCCTTTGAAGAAAGTCCACATTTTCCCAGCGACCAAAAGTGCATATCTCAGACGTCCGCAAGGGTCAACAAAGACTTTTATTAATTTCTCACCAGGCTCCAAAACTTAAACTAGCAAATCCACAATAATTAAATGGCAAGCAATATTCTGTATGTCCAAACAAATCAACCAAAGTACCCTTTGAAGAAAGTCCACATTTTCCCAGGGACCAAAAGTGCATATCTCAGACGTCCACAAGGGTCAACAAAGACTTGTATTAATTTCTCACCAGGCTCCAAAATTTAAACTAGCATATCCTCAATAATTCTATGGCAAGCAATATTCTGTTTGTCCAAACGAATGAACCACAGTCCACCATCGAATTTTCCCAAAAGTGCATATCTTAGGGTAGATTAATTTGTAAGGACTCACCCCGGCAAAGTCAATTGCTATCAGCAGGGTGAGTCACCTCGGTGCAAAGGCAGCAAGGACCAATCGCAGGAGCGGCGTTCCTGTCGGAGATGAGGTGCGACTGTTGCTATACGGTACAGTGCCATGGTACAGGTGGGTGGTGGCAGGGCCGTCGAGGAAGGGGGGTGTTCCAGGGACCTCTAGACTAGATCGATAATGCATCTCTTGGCGGGCGTAGTTCCTCTTAGTCGGCGGTGATCGCTCCTGCCATTGGGGCCATATCCTACGAGTTTCCTGCAAAGAAGTCCGTGTGTGAGTAAAAGCCGAACCAGCAAACGGAACCGTGTCCCGCTACAGAAACGAGTTTTCAGTCTTGCCTCGATAGCCGGACGCGGTTTTCTACCGTTTTTCTACGATCGGAAAAAAGGTGGTGTGTGATCGAAAGGCTCAACGGAATCGATTGCTGTCTGCAAATTCTTTTACTATTTTGCCGGTTTTTTTTTCGTATTTTTGAGAGTCCTTTTTTTTGGGTGATTTTCGGAGGTTTCGATGGAGTTGATTGACCTCCGCATTTTGGGAGGTTCGAGAAGGGTTGCGTCATTGGGGGTTGCAGGCACGTTACGAGGATTCTGCAGCCTCTGTAAGAAATAGGACCAGATATTGATTTCAACGGTGCTTCTTTTCTATCAATGGTTTTTGTGATGTATTTCTTGCAATTCCATCTGAAAATTTCAGCCTTTAAAGAAGACTCAAGTGTCTCAGCAAGGATTTTTATATTTTTTTTTTAAACAAATTTTAGATTCTGCAGTTTTGTGATTTTATTCTAGTGTGGATAATAATTACGTACTTGTGCATACTTCACTGGATAATTAATTTTATCAATGGATTCGGTGCTTTAATTTTAAAAAATGACTGTGGAACAAACCCTGAGTTGCAACCGAAGTTAAATAAATATTAGACTGAATGAAATAATTATGTTTATTAATAATCATATTACTTGTTAATTGTATTATGATAATTTATAAAATTATTCTAACTTGAACAGTTTTTAACTTTTTTTAAAATATGAGACTGATCTAACTCAACGTGATACATTTTTTTATAAAATCAAAAAACGTTTCGGTCATGAAATTATACTCTTGAATAAGTATACAAGGATCAATTAGAAAATTGAAAACGATTTTTGTATATTTATGGAACGAATTTGTTTGCAGAACCTCTTCAGCATGCGCTGATTCAAGAAGCGGATAATGTAGCGGACAGCGAGGATTCCGAGGACGAGTGGAATTACTATCGCGTTGATCCTAACAAGGACAAAGACTCCGCTGATCCCGTTGACGAGGTGCAGGAACCAAGGAACGAGGAACAAGAGAGCGAGAAACTTTCTGTGGAAGAAGCAGAGAGTCCGAAACTTCCGGTCGAAGAAGAGAAACTTCCTGTAGAAGAGGAGATCGAGAAACTTCCTGTGGAAGAGGAGATCGAGTCGAAAATCCAGTCAGAGGAGGAAGAAGTTAAATGCGAAAGTCCGAAGGAAGACTTGCACGAGCTTATTAACACAGAGGTATTTATAAAAATATATTAATTCGGATATTTAAAAATTAAGAAATTGTGAAATTTATAAATCTATTATAATCTAGAGGATTATTTCTATCCACCCCGTTGCGGTATAAAAATATCTGAAGGTTACGTTTCTAATAAAAAATCTTTCAGATTAGCGCCGAGGACAAAGCAAAGGAATCTGAAGAGGAGAAGGAGGAAGAAATCGAAGAACACGAGGATTCCGTAGAAGAACACGAGAAGTCGAAAACAATGGATTTTCCACTGAACCCTGACGCGGCTGAGTTCATACCTATATCGCCGCAGTTTACCGGGACGACGATGAATCTGGAGGACTTCCCCGTTTCTGGCTCGCCTTTCAAGCAAGTCCCACAGATGGACGACATACAAGTACCCAGTCAGAGCGAGTTCGAGAAGGAGATATGCCAGCGACCCAGGGAGGTCGAGAACGAGGATAAAGAATACCAAAATGGGGACCACGTGCAGCCAAATAGCGACCTGGCGGACTACATGAACGACAGACAGAAGGCAGCTAGTTTCATCAACACCTTGGACGATTCTGAGATCTCGTCGACGAAAGCGGAGTACGGCGACACGTCCGTCAGCTTCTTAACGACCACAGAATTCCACAGAACAGGTATCTCCACGGTGGACGAGTCGTTCACGAACTCGGAGCGGGATTATGACATTGCCAAGGACCCCATGGCCATGTCCTTTACACCTAGCGACTTCGAAGCAGCTTTCGACAACAAGGACGTCGACCTGAACGCCGTCCACGATCTGAGCAACTCCGATCTGGATGAGAAGAACGACACCGTAGAGAAAGAAGAACCACCGACGATTCAAACTGCAGAGCCACAGTTTAAATCCACTAACAACATTGAATCCTCCGAGGACGAACACCCACCGAGCGAAGTGGTCCCCGAAGATTCCGTGGATCTCGTGAACCTTTCCTCGCAGCAAGAGGAGAGCGATGCCACCTTCATCGAGCACACGGATAAGCCGCAGATAGTCAGCGATTTCCTAACCTTCCAAGCAGAGTCTTCCCCAATGGAGCAGCAAGAAACGCCGAAAGACGATCACTCTCCGTTGACAGAGAATTACTCGGCGGAATTCGAGTCGGAGAAGGAACCTGTTTCCGTCGATAACGAGCAACCTCTGTCTCCTTCCAGTGCTGACATAGACGAAACGAAGCCCATAGATGAGGCTAGCGAGGACGCCGCTCTTCCAATAATCGATTTGCAGAAGGAAACTTCTGCGAAAGAGACAGACACACCTTCGTCGCTGTCTCCGGTTCCAGACGTGATAGATAGCGAGGTTCTCGCTTCGGTGGATAGCGCAGATGAAGCACATGCTCCAACGCAGTGCTTGCTACACGCGGACGCTCCGGAATTCACGCCAAAGGAACCTTACAGCTTCCGTTCGTTCGATATGGAAACTAACGAAGTTTGTCGATCTCCCATTGAAGATGATGTTTGTCAAATGAGGTCAGCACAAGTTCAGGACACTTATCAGACACCTGTTGAAAAACTCTCTGAACCTAGCTGCTTGTATCAGCCATATTCTACAGAAGCTGGCAATGTGGACGAACCTAGCCAGAATTTGCAGCAGCTTCATGTGGATACAGAGCCAGAGGAAAAAGAGGAGCAGGACGTTAAGCCAGAGGTTGACGCGAAACCAGCCGAAGGAAACTTGCTGAACTTTGCCGAGGAACAACAAGTTTGCGCGAAGAGTCCAGTAGAGCCCGAGTTAACGCCACCAATTTCTCCTCGCGAAGAGGTGAAATCACCGCAGATGGATGATCTTGTTTGTCCTATTCGGTCTGTCGAACAGAAACCCGAAGCTCCTATTGAATTCGTCGAACAGGAACCCGAAGCTCCTGTTGAACCCATCGAACAGAAACCAGAAGTTCCTGTTGAACCCATTGAACAGAAACCTGAAGTTCCTGTTGAACCCATCGAACAGAAACCTGAAGTTCCTGTTGAACCTATCGACCTGAAACCAGAACTACCTGTTCAACCTGCCGAACAGAAACCCGAGGAAGTCGAGCCAAAGGAAGAGGGTCCAATGGAAGCAGACATCCTAGAAGTTAAACCCGAGGAAGAAATTGAACCAGCGAAAGAGGCTGTTCTAAACTTGTCCGCATCCATGCAGGAATTCACAGGGTTGGAGAACGAGTTGCGACCCAAAGCAGAAGAAGTCGTTGAACCTTGCGTTGTACCGCAGGAAGTTCAGGAGGTACCGAAGGAAGAGGAATTGAAAGAGAAGATTGAGCCAGAGAAGCCTGTAGAACCAATAGTCGTGGAAGAGGAATGTAAAGTGGAGGAAAAGAAAGAGGTTGAAGAAGTTCCTTCGTTGATGAAGGAGCCTGAAATAGAGAAGGCAGTGGAAGCCGTAGAAACTGTGCAAGCTGTGGAAGCTGTGGAAGAACCTGCAAAAGTGGAAGCTCCAGAAAACAAAATCGCAGAGACAGCGGCAGCTGCAGGAGCAGCTGCGACCGCGGTAGTCGTTGCAGCAGCCGCTACTACCATGCAGAGCAAAGCGAAATCCAAAACCGCAACGAAACCCGCAAAAACAGCAACTTCAAAGACGACCACACCTAAATCTACACCAACGTCTCCATCGAAAGCTGCGATTTCCTCGACAAGAATGTCCACCGCGACAGCGAAGAAGTCGACAACCACGGCGACTCGTCCGAAGGACCTAGACGCCCCGAAGAAGTCGACAGTTTCGAGCACCACTTTGAAAACATCCACTCCGAAGCCCGCTGCTAAAACCACCACCCCGGCTTCCACGCCAAAAGCGACCACCAGGACAAGCACCGGCGCAGCTACGAAACCAAAACCCGCGCCGACTACTGCGAAAACGTCCACCACGGAGAAAAAGGCTACGGCCAACGGCGACGTGAAACCTCTGAGCAAACCAGCCGCCGCCAAACCTGCGAGCAAGGCGGCACCAGCCGCGACGAAGACGACGCTGACCAAATCGTCGACCACGCGAACGTCCACGGGAACGACGACATCCAAACCGAGACCCGCTACCGCCACCACGACCACCAAAACCAACACTACTGCCAAATCCAGCACGACGACAACGACCACCTCAAGTAGCGCCAGACCTAAAACAGCACCGTCCGCGGGCAGCACGACAAAGACGACTCGCATGTCCACGTCGAAGGCTCCCATGATCGACAAGCAGGTGAAGGAAACGGCCAACAAACAGATCTCCATGGCACGCACGAGCACCGTCACTAAATCACGCGTGTCCAACAGCACAACCACCACCACGGCGAAACGCGTGTCCTCAACAACGAAAACCACCACGGCAGCATCCCCGATCAAGAAGACCTCGGTGACAAAAGTGTCCGGAAAAACGTCCACGGGCGCCAAGACGCCCACCGAGAAAGCAAAGGTCCTTCAGAACGGTGTGTCCGAGAAAGTAGAAATGAATACGATCATCGACGACGTGCCCAAGAAGGATCTCTCTCCTGTAATCGCCCCCAATGATAACCAGCTGATCATGATCTCCGATTGAGTTCTGGGCTCCGTTCGATCTTTAGTTTTTATGTTGATCGTACGTGTGTTGCTCGCCGATAAAAAACGTCATTCATTTCGCGATGTAGGAGCATGAGGATCCACTAAGAAGTAGTTGATTAGGGATTATATAACGAATCGGAAGAAGTTTTTACTATAATTAGCGTAAACTATGAAATATAATATATTAATGTGTATATGTACCAGTTAAAAGTAACGAATCCGTTTATATCTGTATTGGCGGGGAGAGAGAGTGAGAGAGAGCGAAAGGATGCGAACGAGTGAAAGAGAGGGAGAGAATGCGCGCGTAAGAAAGAATATAATCTAAAAAACAAAAAGAAAATATGCAGGGTGTATCCTCTAGGATTAACCATCGTTTTACGAGCGTTCCGGCGATCAGAAATCTTCTGAACCGTCTTTTGAGCTTTGGGCCTTGAATCGTTAACATGGAAAATTATTTTATTTCAAAGATTGCGAAAATAGGAGTAAGATTACGTATACGATTTTAGAGTTTGAGGAACTTGGAAATTTAACTTCTAAATTTAGGAATTTGGAGGAAGAGAAAATTTCTTGATGTTTGAAAACTTGGGAATGTTGATATGGAACATTATTTTACTTCGATCAAATTAATCAATCAAAATATCAGAAAAGGAACCAATTACTACTACGTTTATTGTAATAAAATAATTTTTCATATTAACATTTCATTTGATCAAACATTAGTCATCTCAAGGCCAAGTACATTTTTAATAACCAGATGCATAATAACCAGTGTTCAGAACCTTTCTTAAGTGACGAATGCTCGAAAAATGTTGGTTAATTTTAGAGGATACACCCTGTAAATATTTTATCGCTTTTGACTGCTTCGGTCGTCTGGAAGAAAAAAGAAATGGGGTGTCTCGCTGGAAGAAAAGATATATCTGATTGGGGATGCAAGCATATAACGAGAGAGAGAAAAAAAAATATCGAGATTGTTTTTGTAAATAAATTGGACGCGTTTCCAAGTGGTCTCCGTGATTCGTCGGAGATGTCCAGGTGGTGCTGTAACTGGCCTGTAAAAACAACAGACACGCAGAAAGAAACAGGTCCAACGGAAAGATAAAATGATAAAAAAAAGGAGAGGAAGGAAGAGGAAGAAGATAATAATTCAGGTTCCAGAGAGAGATGCGTTGACCGTGCGAGTCGATTTCTTAATATTAATTATTAACGTAAAACACACGAAGAAGCTGGACGGTCTTTTTATACTTTTTAATTTTATATGTGCATTATATTTGATAATGATTAATCGCCGTACGTTTTATGGAGCAGAACTTACATACACACGTTCACACACAGGGACACATGCGTATAGAGACATGGAGAACAGGGTCTAAGTGTGATATTTAAATTATTTGTAAATTGTTTGTTATGGAAAATTGTTGAAAGTGTATTAACATTAGTTATAATTTAGGGATTTATGAATATGAGAAAAGACTTGTGGAATTTGAGGGTGTGGGGAATCAGAATTTATGTAAAATTTGGGGGCTTTGAAAATCCATGGAATTTGGGAAATTTAAGTTACATATGAATTTCCTCAAATTTAGGGAATTTGGCAGTTTAAAAATTTCTGAGCTTGGAAATTTTTAAATTTGAATATCATTTAACAAGTCTATTATTCTAAAATTTCCCTGTTTCAGTAATAAACGTGTCTGACACTTTTAAATATTTTCTGTACATAACAATTCAAATAATTTAAGTAACACGCACCCTGTATAAATACATACACATATCTACACATATGCGGACGATAAGTACCATATATATTTATTTTTTCTTTTTTGTTTGTTCCTATTCCGAAGTTGAGTATACTGCGAGAGAATATTAAAAAGATGCTCGACATTAATTGATACCATTCTTATGTATTCTCTATCCATCTATGTACAGCACTTTTATGAGTTAATGTGATACAATATTATATTAAATAAAGTTCGAACAAGTACGAAACCAAGAGACAACTTGTATGTGTAGGTCACCGGAAAGATGGCGGAAGTTACGGAAAGAAAGGGACCGGAAATGGTGGGTGGAGTTTACGTATCCCCCTTGTAGGACCATTTGCCAGTTTTTCTAACGATGTGACTGATTTTTAAACTCTGCATCGATCTTTACTGCCGACTGAACGACACTTAATAAAACAAACTTTTTAACGATTTGTGACAGAATCACAGAGTCTACTGCCAAAAAAAGTCACTATAATTCTTTTATTCTCCATTTTTTAACACTTGTGCATATTAACAAAAATTTATTGCCTTCTGTTTGGAAATGCAAAAAAAAGTACTTAGTTCTGTATGCGCGTCCATTATCGTTTATATTTAATAATTTATCGATTACATTTTTTATACTATTTAAAATTGATATATTTTAGAAAACCGACAGGGAAAAAGAATTGGTTCGAGAGTATAAATTTAATAATCGAATTATACGTCTGTTGCGTTATTATTAGCTTCTTAAATAAATACTAATATTAAATATCGAAGGTGGCTCAGTTCGTTGTACCCGATTTTTCTTTTATTTCGAATAATTATCGTGGAAGATTAAAAGGATCATTCAAGTTGTAAAAAAGTTTTTATTTTTAATTAACGTAATATGAAAATGTTAATTCTTTGTCTAATTGTCCTCATGGTTTAAAGCCTCTTGTATGTACGTGTTGCCTTGAGGTCGTTTTTGTTTGTGGACAGGTGCTGAAAATAAAATTATTATTAATTTATTGCCATTTAGAAATTGTAACCCTTTGTTGCAATTTTCATCTGATTTTTGCAATTTTGTTAATATTTTTTATTTAATAGGGCTGTTTTTAATAGTTTTATATCTTCTTTTAGTTTGCTTTTGTATTTTGCAGCAAAGGGTTTCGATTTTAACATTTTTGCAGACATTTGCAGGGAAATTAAAATTATTTTAGCATTAAAATTAAATGAAACTTGACACGTTCAGAGAAATAGTTAATTTTATAAAAAAATAAGTCAATCTTTGTTAATGTTACAAAATTTGCAAGGTAGAAGTCTTTTTTTTATGTTAAATTATTGCAGACAAATTTTCTAATTTTAATTAGGTTGTATTTAGTTTTTTGACTCAACAAATTTGTTGTAATATTTTTGAATTAACTTACAACTTTCATTCCAGCGTCCGTGAATTCGTAGACGCGGAACATTTTAGCATCACCGACCTCCGTTGTTACTTTGAAGGTGTTGCCTTCCATCACAGCAACGCTCTGCAAATTCGCAAATTTAAATTTCTGTTAGTACTCTGCAGTTAATAAGATTATCGACTGAAGGTATAACTGGTGTCATCACGAGATTTCAAAATCCTCATGAACAATTCCATTTTAATTAACATAGTTTAAGATTTAGTTAGACTAATAAATATATTTAAATAAAGATTAACAAATATGTTCAATTTTTATGTCAAATCTTGCAGTTTATAAAATAATTTACAAATTTTCTAATTTAATCTGATATTGAATTCTACGTTAGAAGCTTGATATAAATAATTTTATCAATTTGATAAAAGTTATTTTCAAACGAAAACTTGAAACAAAATAATCCATTGATTATCGCCACGTGTCCAGTCCAAATATTGTCAGACTATCTTATCGCAAATCTACTAAGAAATAAAACGATTTCTGTTCGTACAAAGATATCTACCAAAAATTAACTGATCAAATTTCAGAATTTCATTTATCTCGAACGCTTAACGCCACAATTTAGCATAATTATTCCAAGTCAGTCTGCTAATTCTGGAGTGTGGAATTTTACCTCTTGTCATTTCAGAAGTTTAGAAATTTAGGAATATTTTGAAAATGTAGTAATTTAAATTGAGTGTTTGACAATTTGCAAAATTTAAACTTGAGAAATTAACAAAATTAAAAAATTGAGTTTCGCAGCTAAATTCTTCAAAGATTTAAACTCTCCTTAGTTCTCTAATTCTCCCTCGATCTAAATTCGAAAATTGAATTTCATATCTAAATTTCGTTTCCTGAATTCTTCAAAAGTACCAAGTTGTCCCTAATTGTCCTAAGTTGTTCCTAATTGTCCCTGGTTGTTCCTAAATTCCCTTGGGGATCCAAGCTGTAAATAATTTCTCAAGCAGAGAAAGCCTATAGTAAAACGTTCATGTACCAATTGAATGTGCGAGAAAGAGGGTGAGGAATACTGCCCACTCCTAATAACCAGACAAATACAGTGCCCGCAGGCTATCGCTCATCAATGCCCATGAGTGCGCGCCGCTTACACATCCGTGCACCCCTCACGGACACAATTGCCCATCACTGCTATAAATTATAGTATACAAGCAAAACGATGTCAATTGCCCTTCGAGCTACCACCATAATCAGCCCCTCTCGAGTTCGATGACCGAGCTACAACCATAAATGCGAACAATATATTTTAATTCTCTATCTAAAAAATATCAACTGGTCTTCAACGATAAATCCATATCTCTAGCTTTATTTAATCTTTCAATTACTTAGGAACTAATACTATTTTTATTTGAAGAAGAATAACATAGTTATTAACTTTATCTATTTGGATAACGATCTTCTGTTAGAAAGAGATTATTTTCTGGTACAAAGAGATTAATCGCGTTAGTAATAAGATCATGATATTTTTTATTAGAAATGGAAAAGAGAAGAGATATTTACTTGTTTTAAAAGATAACTTCATGAAGAGATCAGTCTTTTTATGTAAAAATCACTTCCCGCCTTTTTCTTGAAGCTACGAAAATGCATTTGAATTACGCGCCCTGGTTACTCAAAACGGCGCGAAATTCGAATCTCGTTTCATAAGTAAATTGTCTTTCTTGCAATAAGAACAAAATATGAGTCTCAATATAATTGTAATAAGAAATATCCAAAGATTATTCAAGAAGTTATAGAAGAAGAATTGAGAAGTAAATAATTAAACGAACCTGGAATTTGCGATCGTAAGAGGGCAGCTTCTCCTCGAAGGGTTCGTTCAGTTTGAAGATGGAGGTGCTAGACTTGTTGTCGGAGGTGATGACGATAGTCCATTGATCGCCGTTGTTGGTGATCTCCACGATAGGTTTGGACATCAGCAGAGGTCCAGCCAACTCGGGATGACCGGAGGATTTCAAGAACTCCTCGAAATTCTCGTTGGAGACGTGTTGATATTTTCCTACGATCTGTACCATCTTTGAGCACGTTGTTTACACGAACGACACGTTAAACGGAGCTGTTGCTAACGGCGAATTACTGGTCCCCGACTTGGTCGCCGCTTTTATAAGATCATCGGAGGTACTTGTGTGCAAGTGTGCGTTCACACACCCGCATCGAACAATCTACGATCGGTCAGAACAAGTGTCGAACGGATTATCGTCAACCGGCCACGGTTTTGCTTTATCATTTCACTAACATCGTCTTGCGAGTGTCTGTGTTACCTGCACGGACTGCCTATATCAATACTGGCGAATCTTTTTACATGTACGTGACAAAACTTGGCGAATATCTTGTTAATTAAACTGGAGATATCCCCTGCGCGAGGATTAGGTTAGATAAAATAGTAAACATAGGCTAATTTTAATTTCGATTTAAACGCCGATTAGATACCGTAAATTTTGTTTAAATTGTTTATTCACGTGAAAAATTAATGTAAAATTTAGTTGGAAAGTATAGATAAATGCATGGAAGTATATTGTCAATATAGAGCTCTTCTTCTAGTTTTCAATTTAAACTTCATTGTTGCTTAAACTATATTTTTCAGTTAGAATTAATCTCAAGTTTTAAATAAATATACAAGTAAATTGTCATATGCGTCTTTGTACATTTATTTAATGTAAAATTTCATCGTTTCTGAATGTTTAAATAGTTTGAACTGCTTTATCTTACGATGCGCGCGCATGGTACGTACTGCGCATGCGCGCCAAGAACATGGTGGCCCTACTCCATACAGAAAATCGTTTCTTCCCTTTTTTCTTATAAATACTTTAATTTCAGCAATATTTTTCATCTACCGAAGAACAAAGTTTCTCTAAAATGATTTTGAAAGAGAATTATACGAGTAACTTAAGTTTAGAAAGGAAAGATTTGATATTTAGTGAAGTTTCATGATTCATGGATTAGGTTTTCGATTACAATCAGCAGATTATCTGGACTTTAGATTCTAGAAATTTAATCGAGGTCCTCGTTTCCGTGGAATAATGTTCCAACAAATACGAAAGTCATGTTTGTGTACTCAGATATCCAAATTTGAAGAAATGAATAATCTCCTGTAGCTGTTTTACCTTGTAATTCGAAAGTACATTTCTTGTTGACATAATGGATTTTTTGATTACGTATCAATGTACGTTATTTGCTTGTCCATTAACTTGCACAAAAATGGTGTCTTTGCGTGCTTAACTACTTATACATTTTTCAAATTTTAATATTATAACTTTATTGACTAACACGAAACAGTAAAATTGAATCAAATTTAATTAACCTCTGTAAAATTGTACTAAGTCGAATTAAATTGTACTCGAATTGAAACACTGAACCGTCACCGAATTGAATCTCGTAAAAATAAAAAATATCAAATAAAAATGATAGAATTCAAAAGAAGCGGAATACTAAGATGAAGGAGAAATATATTTGAATTCTTAGTAAGCGGGGTAAGGAGAAGAATTGACGTGGTCGGTCTAATCGCACCCTTACACAATATATCAATCGTAATTCTAATTCAAATAACTACTTTAACTAGACAATTAGCGATGCACATTATCAAATTGGACCAACGAGTTGTGATTGATGATTTAAAGTCTATGGAACGAAGTAAGACGGAAGCAAGTCGCTATTTCATCCTTTCCTTCAATTTTCTTCAAACGCTAACTCGAATCTCTTTTCATAGTCATCTCCTATCTATTAATTCATCCGACTTGATTTCACATAATCACTCGACGAGAAGGTTAACTTACTTAGTCTAAATTTGAACGTTCGTTCGTGTAAACATTTGTTTTGTAAGTTTGTTCTGGTGATTTTGGTGTATTTTGAGGTTTGAGAATTTTGGGTTGGAGTTTGAAGAGATATAGGAATTTGGGGATTTAGTGATTTGGGGAGATGGGGACTTAGGGATTGGGGATTTAGGGAGACGGAGATTTAGGGAGACGGGGATTTAGGGAGTCGGGGATTTAGGGAGTCGGGGACTTAGGGAGATGGAGATTTAGGGATTCAGGATTTAGGGAGACGGGGATTTAGGGAGATGGGGATTTAGGGATTTGGGGATTTAGAGAGTCGGGGACTTAGGGAGATGGGGAGTTAGAGAGTCGGGGACTTAGGGAGATGGGGATTTAGGGATTCGGGGATTTAGGGATTTGGGGATTTAGGAAGATGGGGATTTAGGGATTCGGGGATTTAGGGATTCAGGATTTAGGGAGACGGGGATTTAGGAAGTCGGGGATTTAGAGAGTCGGGGACTTTGGGAGATGGGGATTTAGAGATTCGAGATTTAGGGAGATGGGGATTTAGGAATTCAGGATTTAGGGAGTTTGGGTCTTAGGGATTCGGGGATTTAGGAAGTCTGGAATTTAAAAATTCGGGATTTACGGAGTCGGGGATTTAGGTATTCGAGGATTTAGGGAGTCTGGAATATAGAGATGTGGGATTTAGATATTCGAGGATTTAGTGAGTCAATGATTTAGAGAGTTGTGGATATAAATATTTGTGAATGTGTGAATTTAGTAATTTCTTGATTATGAGATCTAAGGATTCGAGATCTTTATTTTTGGGACAAAGAATTGAGGTATTTAAGTATTTGGATATTTGGAAACATGACTCCTAAAAAATTAAAAAATCATAAAACTTGAAAGTGTTAATATTTAAACATCCCGCAGTAAAAAGAAAGTAAGTTTTAAAATAACGCTAAAGAAGCGAGTACGAATCGACGTAGAGTTTATTCCAGCTAGTTTATTCCCCACAATAACCTGATGTCTGTGATTTTAATAAAGCGCGTAGGAGAGGCGAGTATTGGTATGTATATGAATTCAAGTCAACGCGGCCGCTTAATCGTCAACCATGTTCTCGGTTGCTGAGGAGCTACATTCAATGCACTCGACCAGCCATTTGCATATTATATTCTTGCAATCATTCTTTCTTCTATAAATAAACCATCATATTAATCTTATTAATTTAATAAATAATAATAATAATAGCAACTTGCATTTCTACATAATTTTTTCTCTTCCCATTTTTGTCGAGGCTTAAATCCTTTTATTCAAGAACCTGTACACGACAGATGTGCAAATGTTGTTTAACGTCACTAAAGGTTATTATAAAAGCTTCCGACATTTTTAACAAGCCACGAAAGGTGGACGGAAATTTCATACGGTTCCACTTATCGATAAGAGATAAAATCATGTTTAACAAAGTTCACCACGATAATTCAATAGAACCACGATTAAAATGATTAAGATCGTCAAGGTCGCGTATTGCAGTATAAAAACATGTACCAAAGGTTTCCGCCGGATCAAATGAGCTCAATTATGAAGTAATCTTTGCCCGTACAATTTGCAATCAATAAAAATACGCGATAATAAGTTAGAGGTGCCACTTGAATCGTGCACATTCTCGCTGATAAATTCTGCGCTTTTAACCATAAATCAATTTTGTTAAATGCTGATAAATTATCTGGTGAACAATTTTTATTGCAAATTTATCTAATATAAACTGCAATAAAAATTTTAACGTTACTCAGCAATATAATGAGTCTGTTTTACCAGCTGATTAAAATTGTTTAACACAAACTGCAATAAAAAATTGTTTAACACAAACTGCAATAAAAAATTGTTTAACACAAACTGCAATGAAGAATTGTTTAACATTGTTCAAAATGTAAAATACAAATTTATAAGTGATTACTTTAATGTTCATATAGTATCAGATGTAATATATTTACAATTAAAATTGTTTAACACAAACTGCAATGAAGAATTGTTTAACATTGTTCAAAATGTAAAATACAAATTTATAAGTGATTACTTCAATGTTCATATAGTATCAGATATAACATATTTACAATTAAAATTGTTTAACACAAACTTCAATAAAAAATTGTTTAAAATTGCTCAAAATATAAAAAGACAAATTTATAAACAATTAACTAGACGTCCACATAATGGCAGACTGGATATACTTATAACTAAAATTGTCTAACACAAACTACCCTAAAAATTTAACATTATTAAATGTAACACTGCTCAAAATATAAAATTACAAATAATGTCCCTAGTGTCACGTCCCCATATTAACAGAGTGAATATCCTTATAACTAAAATTGTCTAACACAAACTACCCTAAAAATTCAACATTATTAAATATAACATTCCTCAAAATATAAAATTACAAATAATGTCCCTAGTGTCACGTCCCCATATTAACAGAGTGAATATCCTTATAACCAAAATTGTCTATCACAAACTACCCTAAAAATTTAACATTATTAAATGTAACATTGCTCAAAATATAAAATTAAAATAATGTCCCTAGTTTTATGTCCCCATAGTAACACAGTGAATATCCTTATAACCAAAATTGTCTATCACAAACAACCCTAAAAATTTAACATCCTTAAATGTAACATTGCTCAAAATATAAAATAACGTGCCTAACTCTCTATGTCCCCAGTAAATCAAAGATCATAATACATAACAGACGAATAGTATAATAGAGTTCCAACAGAGTTGATTTTTGCATTTCTTGCCGAGGGATGATTGCCACTCGAGACTTAGGGCTCGGGGTTTCGTAGACACAAGCACGGCCTTGAATTGACAACTAATTGTCAGTGATGAGCATACATCAAAGGCCTAGACGATCGGAGGTCACGTGATCTTCCGTTTCATATGGGATGAATGAGCTTATTCCCATTAAAGAACAGGCCACAGTCGGCGTGTGTACACACAAACGCATGCACTTACTACCTTTCGCAGTACTCGACGGCCAATTGAACTTGTTGTAAGTGCTTTCTTCTGTTCATCGGTGCAAATCACACGATCGATCATCAACCGCATCCTGAGGTGGATTTATGCTACAGTGTATGCGTTATAGGATGGTTGTACTCGGTTCGTGTAGGGATGTTGGAGTCAAAGTTTATCTCTGTTATTTTTAACGAGAGGTGTCTTATTTTTCAATCTGTTAATCGTTCGGATTGACGATATCGTTCGATCTCGTCGAAGTATTCGTAATGATTCACGTTGCGAATGTGTGTTGTAAACATAAGTGATTTAATCCTTAAAGTAGATTACTCTGAAACTAATGTACAATTAGTTTACATCAACTAATGTACTTGTAATACACTTAAATTTATACTAAATTTAACGAATAATAAAGTAGCAAGTAATTTCAATATTTACTATTCTTAAAATATAAGTTATTTTAGTTTACAATTAAATTTGTGTATGTTAATGTGGACCTATAATTGACTTCCTCCATTGAAATATACATTCCTAAATTATTTAGTTTGCATTCAGCTTGAGTTTACATTTAAAATGCAGGAAGGGAATAAAAGAAATCATAGTACATTGTAAAGTAAGTATCTTGTATGTTGGAACTATTCAGCAAAAGTAGACGCACTTTGAAATTTAAATATTCCCGCGCTTTTTGCATTTTTTGGGAGAATATGGCTCTTGGATGTTCAAATATTGCTTAAAGATTGTTATAACATCAGAGAATT